GTGGCCATACTTCCTCATGCCATGCTCCATTGCCCCCACGGTGGCCCACAGATATGTTTTGCGCCGGGCCCACAAAAGGTTAATCCGGCTCTGGATGGGCTCAGTGATACCCCAGTGTATCAGGTGGCCCCCCGAGGGTGGGGTCGCAACCCGACACAATAACATCAAAAGTAGGTCTAGAAATCAAAACTCTTTTGTCGCTTGAGTACCTGCCCTGAACCCTACAGCACATCACCAGAACCTTTCCATTGTGCCCTTCCCCTCCCTCCCACTATCAGCCCTTACCAGTCACCTCTCACATCATCCATTTTAGTCGCCCAGAGGGTGTTAACTCAGATATGAAGCAATTAGCTTAACACAACTCAAAATGACTTTTTTCTACTCATCGGTTGGAGCTGGCACGGAGGTGATTTCTCCAGCTCAGCTTCACCATTGCAGTGACTGGTTCTAGAGACAACGAGGGAGTTCACTGAGGTGATTCACTCAAGGTGTGTGACAGCCATACGCCTGTTCTCTGGGGGGATTTCTCAGCAGTTGCCCAAGACCGGACTTTAAAATCCAGAGTCAATAGGGTGCTTGACAGCAACCAGACTCAAGTTGTTACCCAGCAGGGGGTGCTCTCCCTGACTAAGCAATGCTAGTCCCACTCACGGCTCCTTCATGCAGACATTGTGACTTCAGGAAGCGACGTGCTGAACAACATGGGACATTTTATACCATTTCTATTGACTCCCTGCCCCATACCAAACTTGTCACAAATGAGTGTCAACTTAATTTTCTGTTTTTGGCTAAGATACTGATTTTTAAAAAAAAAGTATTGAAATTGGATTCAGGATTGTTAGCAAGCATTTTTGGCAAACAAAGTTGTTAAATGAATCTAAATGGCAACACAGTTGTGAGTTCATGCTTGGCTCACCCCCCAGCTTGCTGGTCCAACAGCTGCAGTAGAGGAGGAGATCGGTGGAAAGCTGCAGGACCCCAAAATCCACCTCTTGGGGTGAAGAGTGGTAACAGCAGCAAACCCTCTGGTCTGATCACACGCCACTGGGCACCTCTGCCAGCCCAACAGACCATGGTGAAGTTAGCACAGCATCTGATCTCAAGGACGGGGCACCCACGAACCACAGCAGTTCATTCTGCCCTGCGCAGCTCCCCCGGATGAGATGGATCACTGCCAGCCTGGGGGAGAGACGCACTCCCCAGCTAGGGTGATCAGATGTCCTGATTTTATAGGGCCAGTCCCGATATTTGGGGCATTGTCTTATATAGGCACCAATTACCCGCCACCTAGGGTGATCAGACAGCAAGTGTGAAAAATCAGGACAGGGGGTGGGGGGGGTAATAGGAGCCTATATAAGAAAGACCCAAAAATTGGGACTGTCCCTATAAAAGTGGGACATCTGGTCACCCTACCTCAACCCCCTGTCCTGATTTTTCA